ACATTTCTGGAAGGAGAAGCCAGAAACTTCTACCAGGGGCTGCCTCTGGGGGAGGGAGGAAGGGAGGTTGATTTTGCAACTTACCCCCTTTGGAATCTTTTGCATTTTGCACCATGGGTTTGGGTTACCGGCTTAAGTACTAAGTGTGATTAAGCGATAGAATAAGGGAGAGAGAGAAATTCAGAGATAAAGGAACAGGGAAGAGAGGGAGGGAGGAAGAAAGGGAGAGAGTTTACCTTTGTTTAACCCAGCGGGGCCCCAGACTTCTGTAGATGCTTCTGGTCTTCTCGGGGAAAGGCTGTGAGCTGTCCCCACCTCCCCAAACCACAGGCCAGGACCCCGTGTGCTGTCCCAAATCACTCCCGGCCCCAACACTTCTCAGTCCTGAGTCTTCTTGAACAACTGTCTCTCCTCTGAGCTTCCTTTCTGGGGCCTGGCCCTGGTCAAGTTGACACTTTCCTATTGGGTCCTATGGCCCCGCAGGTGCCTTAGCAAGGGAGGCCTGCCCAGTCCTGGAGGCCGTGGCCTGGTGGGGATGTGCAGAGACTCGTGGGCCCCGTGTGCTTGGGTTCAAATCCCGCCTCTTCCACCTTCTGGCTGTGTGACCTCAGGTTGGTTAGCTATTCCCTTGATTTTGCAGGGCCCACGTGATATTGTTCAGCGTGCTGAGTTGGTTGCCTATCTTTCAGATTCAAGAGCTGTCATATGAAAATAGGTATTTCTTACGAAGAAAACAACAAAAAAGAAAAATCCGGACATTTGGCATCATGGGGCCAAATTCCCACAAGGCCGCAGTGACCTGAGAAGTGACTGCGCTTCAGAGGGGCACATGGGGCACCACTTTCCTGCTCCCCGATGTTTACCCGCCTCGCCCTGGGGCATTGGGGTCTGGGCCTCCTTGGACCGTGTCTGTCCTGTTCAATGTTGCAGTCCCGCGGCCCAGCTCAAGGCCCGCCACAGACACTACCAGGGGACCTGAGACTTTAGGCCTGGTCCTCCCAGGCCATGGGACCCTGGGCAGGTCCTTCCCCTCCGTGGACCTGTTTCTGCATCTCTGAAATGGGGGAAGGCATGAGATGCTCTCCTGGGCCCCTCTTTGTAAGTTCTGGGGCATTGGCAGGAGGTGGGCAGGAGGTTTGAGTCCAGCAGTGACGCAGTGACAAAGTGTGGGGCGGCCCCCTCAGCCATGCTCCTGTTCTCAATTCTGGCTGCACATTAGAATCACCTGGATAATTTTCATTCAAATACCTGTGACCAGGCCCTAATGCACACGGAAGAGGGTTGCCCTTGTGTTTGTACGACAGACCTTCAGCATGACCTTCAAGGCCTTTATTCCTCCCAAACCCCTCTCATGTTCATTTATTCTTCCTCTTTATTCCCTTTCTCTCCTCCTTCTTCCCCACCAGGAGCCGTTCTATTATGTAAATGAGTCTCCTTTTTTTAATCTTGAAAAACGGGTATTTCTGTTTTATGTCCCTAATTTGTAATCGACACACGTGGCCTGGTCTCATAGATCTTGGTTTTACTTTCTCCATCACTGGTCTGGCTCTCCCTTCCCGTGGGCACACTTGGTCCCTGGCTCCTGAGGACTGCATGGGAGTCCTTGGCGTGTGGTCCCTGGGCCTCCCATTCGCTGCCCTAGAGTGGACACCCAGCCCACCTCCAGCTCCCACCCCATAAACACCGCTGCAGTGAACATCCTCGTGCGGGCGCCCACAGGGTCCCATGATTTCCTTGGGAAGGCACCCGGGAGCGGAATTATTGTGAGATGCGTATGTGTGATACCTCATTGGACTAAACCAGACTCGAATTTTTACCAGACTCGTGGTAGAATGACAGCTTGTTGAAATGTGCCTTCCTCCAATTACCAATGAGTTTGAGACCTTGTGCACACCCTGGTTGGTCTTTTGGGTTTTTTTCTTCTGTAAGTTGCCTGTTTATACCCTCTGCCCATTTTTCTATTTGGGTTGCTCTTTTTCTTGTTAAAACAAAGCAAAACAAAACAAAACGTGATCCGTGTTAGACTCTGCAAATATTTTTTCCCTTTCTGAAGCCTGTTACATTTGCCCATGATGTCTTTCCTTGAACAAAACTTTACATTTTAACATTGTTATTTTTTTTTTTTTTGACAATTTGTTCCACTGGAGTTTTAAGAAGCCCTTCTCTACTGCTGGTCATCAAGTATTTTCCTCTGTCGCCTTTATAGTTTGTCTGTCAGAGGATGCTTAATCCATCAGAGAAACCTTGTCCAGGGGAACTCAGATAATGTTAAGGTCTCCTATCTAAGCCGTCTGGTTAGTAGCCGCTGGTTAAAAGTGACAGTGGAGGATGTGAAATGTGACTAGGGCCACGAAGGGACTGAAATGCTTCATTTTATCTCATTAATTTAAAATTAAATAGCCACGTGTGATCGGTGGCTACTGTCCCGGGAAGCACAGATCTAGTGTTCTTTTGTTGTGGTGTTAGGTAGGGATCCCGTTTTCTTTTTCTCCAGAAAAATGAACCAATTTCCCCCAACTCTATTAGTAAACAATCTATTTTTCCCTCATTGTTTTGTGGGGCCATCCTTATATATTAAGCTCAACCTGAGTACACTTGGGTCTGCCTCTGGGTTCTCCGGAGAAGCCCGGGGAGTCTAGTGAAGGTGGAGAGTCTAGCAGAGGTGGAGAATCACAATTCTACAGTAACAGACACACAGACACACAGACACCCAGAATAAAGACTACGTTTCCCAACCTCCCTTGCTGCCGGGTGCAGCCACGTGATGAAGCTCTGGCCAATGAGGCAATGGCACAACCTCTGGGTCTTGTCCTTAAAGGGCCCTGCCGGCCTCTTTCGGTCCTCCTTTGTACCACCTATTTAGCCTGGGGTGTGGCTGGGAATCTGCATTTCCAGCAAGTTCCCAGGGATACTGCTGGTCCGGGAACCACACTTGGAAAAAACCACTGGTCTGACTTGTTTCACTCAACTCATTTTTGGTGTCTGTAAACACTCGTCTGACCTGCGGGCTAATACATGCCCTCCTGGGCCTTCGCAGTTTAGAGCATAGCGTCCCCTGCTGCCGCTGAGGCAACACTCACTACTTTGTGTGGGACCACGGCTCGTCTGGTCCGTACCGTCTGGACAAAGCCAGTCCCCAGGGCCACATGGCCGCTGGGGCAGGTGTCTGCTCTTGCTACGCCACACTTGCCCTTCTGAGTGCTCCCTTGTCCCGCCGATGCCCGGCACGGACTCCCTCACCGGCTGGGACCAGTGGGGCCCTGCCTGGAGGAGGCCCCGGAGCTGGGGTGGGTGGGAAGCTGGAAGAACGTTTCTGCTCCCGCTGCCGCAGAGGCACGGGCCGACTTCCGGGAACTTGGTGGTGCCTCTGAGCCCTTTTGTGCCTCTAGCCCTGTTGGCTGCCCCAGCCTTCCCGATACTTTTGGGACCAACCCCCTGTATTCAATCTCCTGTTTGAAACAACTGGAGGGGTTTCACGGATGCCCTGGGAACCCCTTCCAGATGGGCAGGGGCAGCAGGAGGCGGCACGGGGCCTCCGGAAACGCTCTCAAGGCCACCCAAAATAAACAGTTTTGGTGGCAGAAGGTGACAATCACGGCAGTCACCATGGGGCCGAATGTTGGCTCCTCCACCATGTAATGACCTGGCAAGGGACCTCCTGTCCCAGAGGGGTCCTTCACCCACAGCGGCACGTCCTGGAGCCCCCCCGGGGGGGGGGCCAGGGAGGCGAGGCACTCGGGCTGGGAGTGAGGTGGCTCTGTGCCACCCTGTTCTTCACCGTCCTTAGCTGGCTGTGGAACCATGGGCGTACCAGCCTCCGAAAATGAGTCGGGCTGCCATCGTTTCTCTATTTTCTGGAACAGTTTGTACAAGGTAGGAATTACGTGATACTTCAAAGTCTGGTAGAACTCATTTGTAAAAGCATTCAAGCCCAAAGCTTTTTCTTTGGTGTGTGTGTGGGGGGATGTTACTTTGGTCTTTTCTTGTTTTCTGTTTCTCCTTATACCCATTTTGGCAGAATTCTTCCCAGAGATGTAACAGCTCCACCCAGGCATCCAACACATTCAACATGGCAACAGCTGCTTCCTTGGGGATGTTTAAACCTCTGACTCCCCATCTACAGGGTGCCTGTTCGTGGCCAGCCCCGGGCACAGACGTGGCACTCCAGCCTTGGGGAGCTCGGGGCCTGTGGAGAGGCGTGCCCTGGGGTGGGAGCAGGAGGTATAGCCCAAGCCAGAATCTCCACACGTTTCCTGCCCACAAGCCAGGCTGCGGTCCCTGGGGCCAGGGGCAGTGGGGTTCACTGCTCATGCTCCAGCTCTCCCCAGGGGAGCTACTGCCCCCCCCCCCCACCTCTCGGGTACTCAGGGAGACGCACACAGTCCAAGCTCACACCAACCTGGGTGGTCAGTGGCCAGAACACAGCGCTGCCCAATGGATGCCAGCCAATTCCTTTCTCCCCTCGTGGAGACCCAGGCTCGGCCCCCCGGGACCCTGATTTAGAGGGAGGGTTCTGGCCAGTGGAGCATCCCTAAAGCTGGCTGTTCCAGATCCATCCATCCGCCTTAGCCGAGTCCTCAAAAGCCCACCTGCCCAGAGAACGATTTTCTGAACGGCCCATTTACTAACATCAGCTCATCAAGGACCATTCCTATCCACCCAACACGCTCAAGACAGACAACCTTTAAAACAAGACTAGGGCAAATCTCAGATTTGGCAAACTGGGCATCGCAGCACACGGACGCTGGTGGACTGGTGTTTGCAGGCCAGGGGGTGGGCGAGCCTGGATCCCACGTCAGGGGGTCCTTACTGGCTGCTTCGACCTGGGGGCTCCCCACCCTCCCCAGACATGGCCCTTGCCCTAAGATGGGCTGGAATCCTGGGGTTCGCCAGGCCGCCCTCTCTCTGTCGAGTCCCTCCCCGCAATCCCACACCAAGATGGCCTGGACGGAGAGGGGCCTCTACACACCACACACACACACACACACACACACACACACACACACAAAACAAGAAAACGTTTTAATTGCAAAACTAACTTGAGGGAAGGGAGGGGAGGAGGGGTGGGGCCGCACCGAGGGGCCGGGAACCTGATTCTTGGAGCAGTGGTTCTGTCTCTGGTGCCGCCCCGCGGGGCAGAGACCCGTCTGTCCCCAGGTCAGGACAGGGGCCAGAGTGTTATAAAATGACAATATAAATAGACTTCTAGAAAAGAGGAGGCTGTCCAGGTGCAGTAGTCATCTGCAGAGGCTGGGGATGGTCGGGAAGCCCCGACCCCCATCTCCCCAGCGAGCCACAGAGAGGGGACGCGGGACTTGGGAAAAAGGCCACTCTTCAGACATTCATGATCGACCCCCGCAATGGCTCGGGGGGGCCGCGGGGCTGCGCTGTGTGTCAGGCAAGGCCTCAGAGACACCCTCTCGCAGGCTGGAGGACAGAGCAGCTGGACCTTCGGCACGGGCGTGCGTGCACACTCACGCACGCGTGCACGCGTGTGCACACGCGCACACACGCCTTTTGTAGTGTTCCCCACCCACAACAGCCCCCACTGCAGATGATTTCCAGTGATGAGGGGGCCGCCTGTCCTTCCTGGAAGACAGGAAGACACAGGAAGGGGCTGTCCCGGAGGATGGGGAGGCCGGGGACCCTCACTTGCTCCCACAAGTCCCTGTGTTTTTTTTTTTTTTTTACAAGTCACAAAATCAAAGCTGGAGTTCAGTAGTAGGGTCCTGCACGCTCCCCCACCCCCCGCAAGGAGGGTGGCGCCACAGGGAGTGTCTCCCAGGCAGGGAGGAGTGGGGGCCGGCCCCCGACTGGCCTGTGGCGGGCAGGGGTGACCCAAGGGGCTCTTTGGTTCAGGGACAGGGCACTGGGCCTCATCTGGTGCGGTTCTGGCGCATGAGGGGCACGATGCTGGCGGGCGGGCCCGCTTTGGCCAGGAACGGGTGCTTCAGCAGCTCAGCCGCCGTGGCCCGCTGGGCAGGGTCACGCACCAGCAGGCGGTCCAGGAAGCCCTTCAGGGAGGGTGACACCTGTCAGGAGGTGGGGGAGAGAGACAGGGAGGTCTGAGTGCCAACTCCAATGCTGACCGGCCACTGGGTCTCAGTTTCCTCCTCCGTTAAATGGGCTGACAGCATTCACTGCCCAGGGAGGGGGCCAGGAGGGCCCAGGTGTCTAGAGTTTGGCCCCAAGGGTAGCAACACATCCAAAGACCCCAAGGGCTCATTTCTTCTCCATTTTAAAGCTGTGCAAGGAGGCAACAGGGGCGGGGCCCCGGAGGCACCCCTCTCTCCCCGGGTGACTCATCTACCAGGAAGGCTGCTCTCCCAGGCCTGGCTCTGCTGTGTGTGTTCAGCCAGCTGGCCTAAGCACAACCACTGGGCTCAGGGGACCCGTGGGGAGGGGGCCGGGGAGCCCAAAACAGAGGAAGTGTCACCTCCCTCACATCACCCGCCTGCCGGCCGGGGCCCACCTTATGTAGGTTTTTCAGTCGGGGTGGCAGGTTGTCCCGAATCATCTTCATGGCTTTGAGGGGTGGCTCGTTGAAGTAGGGGGGCTCCCCGTCCACCATCTCAATCACCATCACCCCCAGAGACCAGATGTCCACCTGCAGTGGGGAAGGGCCAGGAGGGCTGAGCTGTGCCCAGACGGGCCAGTGCTGGGGGAAGCCACGGAGGCGTGGCCCCTGGTTCTGCCTTTGCTTCCTTGCTCCTGGAGTCCTCGGGCCCCAAACACCCCCTCTGACCCCCAGCTTGCCAGACCCACACGCTCCTCCCCCAGGAGCCCTCTGAGGGGTACTGCCCACGCAGCACCCTCTCCCCCTCGCTCTAGGGAGCGTCGAGGGCTCGGTGACCAGCTGTCTCATCTGCATCGCTGGGACACAGTAACTGGTTCATGCGCAGGCATGTGACCTGAGCTGAGCCGATCAGAGCCAACCCGAAGACTTTAGGGGAAATATCGAGGAAAACCCGTGGCACTCAAAGGCAAGGGGACATCCCAGAGTTGCCCGGCCAGCTCTGCCCCGACGAGGGGAGCACCTGCCCGGGTGAAGACCCACACGGACAAAGTCAGGGCTGAGGAGGGACAGAGCACAGGGACGGCTGGGCCCGAAGCCTGTCACCCACCCCTAACACCATAGTTCTTGGGACCCAGAGCTTTCGTGTTTCGCTTTAGCCATTTGGGTGGGTTTTGTCACATCACCCGGCCGGGCTCACCAGGGATGGACACTTGCATGCGTGCCTACCCCCTCTCCTACAGAACCATCCCCAGTGATCCACCTCCCACGCTGAGCCCCACCCCACCCCCAGCACTCCCGCTGTTCCAGCAGTCACAGTGTAAACCGGTGCCGAAAGTGGGGCAACCAGGCCACCGCTGGCTTACCTCTGGCCCATAGGGGAGGCGAGAGATGAGCTCGGGGGCCATCCAGTAGGGCGTGCCAACCAGTGACTTCCTCCGTGGTACCTCCTTGCTCACCTGGGCACAGAACCCGAAGTCCGACAGCTTCACCTGCAGCGGGGCACGGGCAGTGGGGGTCAGAGGTGCTGCAGGTGGGAGGGGGAGCAGAGGTGTCCAACTACTCAATTCCCTGGCCTCGGGCGTGCTGGAGCTCCACGCTGCAGCCTAGAGGTCAGAGCCAGACCACTGGGTCGCTCCATCTCCTCCCAGCAGGGGGCCCTCAGGTGCGTCACCTCCCAGAGATCTGCCCTGGGGTCTCTGGGGGAGGTGGCCTGAGTCCTACAGGTTCCAAATGCTGCGCTAGGGGTCGGGGTGGGGCTGGGTGAGACCCCAGCTGGCTCCCAAAGCCTGTGCCCTGGGCCCCTGCGTCCCCAAGGGTACGAGAGGTGTGGCCTACTCTACCAACAACCACGTGCCCAGAATCGTGCATTTCCACCTGCTTGGGAGCCACTGGCCCCTTTCCGATTCCTGAGGATACGTACGGATCTTCTCACCCCCAGGAAACATATGCACACGGCATGCACACAATTTCAGGCTCACAGGTGTCCCCCAAACACATCTGTGGACAGCTTTGGGTGTTCACGGACTCCAACTGAGAGACTCCCAGTGAAAGAGAGCCCACCCCGACCCGTCTCTCTACTGAATGGCTTAACTTCCCTGGGGGAGGGCAGGCGAATCACCAACGAGAATTCGGGGACAGTTAAGGACCCCCTCCCACTGAAAATCACGTCCACTCTTGGAATTTAAATACACGTTCTGGGCACTGGGAGGCTCATCCATGGGCTTCAGAGTCAGAGCCTCAGTCTGGAAGATGGGAGACAAGAGCGGGGTCCACGGCCCACTGCCGTGTGCTCAGCTAGCCACAGCTTTTCAGTGGAGGAAGAGCCGAGGCCGGCCACCCAGATGCCTCTGGGCCTCCCCTGGGCCCAGCGCTGGGCTACAGCTCCAGGCGTCCTGTGCTGAAGACGGAGCCCCTGCCAGCCAGGGCCCCTCTGTGACTGCGCGCTCAGAGCCCCCCACTGACTGGGCCCGACTCTGGGCTGTTGCCTGAGGAGCAAGCCGCCGAGTGGGGGGGGGGGGTCAGGGATAGAGGGGAGCTGGGGAGAGGCAGGGGGAGCCCCAGCCAGCCCGCTCCTCACCCTGCCATCGTGGGTCAGCAGGATGGAGTCGCTCTTGATGTCACGGTGGATGACCCCCTGCGCGTGGAGCACAGACAGGGCCTGCAGCACGGCCAGGCACACGGCGGCAATCTGCTCCTCGTTCATCCTGCGCGGGCTGGGGGTCGGCAACCGGGCCACACGCGGCCCTGCCCTCCCGGCCCTGGGACGCGGCCCCCCACCGCAAAGGGTCTGAGGGGACTCCACCCCGCCGTGGGAGAGGTCTGAGGGGATGCGTGGTGACCCCGGAGAGCCTGGGGAGGCAGCGGGCTGGGGGCCCGCCGGGGGCCCCGCCGGTACCTGGTGTGAGTGACGATGTCGGTGAGGGCGCCGCCCTCCAAGAACTCCATGACCACCCAGAGCTCATCCCCGACCAGGTAGCTGTTGTACATCTCCACCACGTTCTCGTGCTGGTAGTCCCGCATGATCACCACCTGGGCACCGGGCTGGGTCAGCGCCGCCAGCCCCTGCATCGAACCCAGCCACCAGCCGGCCTCCTGCCTCCCCTCCTGCCCGGGCTTGGGCCCTGCCGTGCCGCAGGCCCCGGCCCACCTGTCACTCCCGCTCACTGGGCTCGTCCTGGACGGCCCTCCCCTGGGCCAAAGCCAGGAGACCCCAAAGGCAGCTTGAAGCCTGATGCCTTCATTGTGTGGGGTGCGCTCCCCACCTTCCCCACCCTGAGCTGGTCTCCGAGTGGCCCTGCTGACCGGGCTGGTGTGGGGAGAGGGGCGTGGAAGAGAACGTCTCAGCACGGGGTTGAGGCCGCGGGACAAGCAGGTACCAGCCAAGGGCAGAATAACAGGCTGGGGGGATGGATTCAGGGCCAAGAAGGCCTGGCGGGGCAAAGCCTGGGGGAGCCGGAACAGGATACTTGCAGGGGTTCTGCTGAAGGGCTCATGGTGCAGCTGGAGCACAGTGAGACTGGGGGGGGCCGGGGGACGGGTTATGGGGACAGCTGGGAGACCGGGAGGAGGAGGCAGAGTTTAGACCACCTCCAGGCCCGACGGCCCGGGACTCCCGCCCCAGAGTCCGGGGGCTGCTCCCAGCACGCATTCCTCCGGGGAAGGAGCCAGGAGTCTGCCTTTGTAACAAACTCCCTGGCAGACGCCGCCAAGAACCCCAGCCAGAGGCTGGACTCAACCAAGAACCTAGATGGGGGCCAGACCTCAAATGCCCGGCAGAGGCCAGGCCTTTACCCTGGGGACACCTAGGGGTGGGGTAGGGGAACTGCAAGGGTCAGTAAAGCTGGTTGGGGTGGGGGGGCAGAGTGGCAGGCCTGCATGTCCCAAAGAGCCCTTTGGCTGCTGGGTGGGGAATGCCCAGGGGGTCCCCAAGAGGGGAAGCAGCCAGGGCAGAGCCGAGCAGGAGAGGATGGGGCTGCACAGCAGCTACCGGGCTGGGGCGGGGGACAGGGAAGCAGGGGAGGGGCAGGGCTGGGGGAGAGACTCGGGGGGCCAGTTTGGGGTTCGGTGAGTGTAACGGGCCCAGAAGTCACGCGAGGGCGGGGCTGAGAGGGCCTGAAGCTGGGGCTCTGGGGAGGCAGTGGTGGGTACCGGGGTGGGGGGGCGGTGACAGCCCAGGGAAGTATGAGGAGTAAGGAGAGAAGACAGGCCCAAACCCCGCCCTGGGGACCCCAGCGCTGAATGGCCTTCTCCCCTCCTCACCCCTACAGGGCCTGGACCGGCACAGGCCTCAAAACCAGCTGCTGGAGGGCGTCAGGGGGAGGGCACGGCAGGGGCCCGCGGCCCACCTCGTTGAAGAGCAGTTCGCGCCTCTGCTGCTTGCGCAGGTCCATCTTCTTGACGGCCACCAGCCTGCCTGAGCTGCGCACTGTAGCGATGCACACGATGCCCGTGGAGCCCTCGCCGATCTTGATGAAGTTGTCCAGGTAGGAGCGAGGGTCGCCGGGGTCCACCACCAGCTGCAAGGCAGCCCGGAACTGCTCGTGCGACACTCGCTGCGGCTCCCGCTGTGGCGAGCGGGGCCCGGGAGGCCCGGGGGCCGGGGGCCCGGCGGGGGCGGGGGCAGCGACGGGGCGGGCCGGAGGAGCCAGCTGGGGCTCAGAGGCATGGGGGCCCAGCCCTCCCGGGCTGGGGGGTCCATGGGCTCGGGCGGGAGGCCGGGAGGAGGACTGGGGGACCGCCAGGCCCCCTGCCGAAGGCCCGTTGGGGGCCAGGCTGTGAGACTCCCCCTGCAACAGAAAAGACAGGCAGCTGTCGGGGGGGGGGGGGGGGGGGGGGGGGGGGGGGCAGCTCTGCTCCCTGTGCGGGACAGGGGCCCTGGCCATGGGGACAGACACATGGTGGTCAGGATGGAGATGGACAGCGGGCTGGGCACAGGCTGGTGCTGGTGGGCAGGGCACAGGGTTGGGGGACGTTTTGGACAAAGGGGCGGTGGAAGGTCCTGGGGCGGGGGGATTGGTTACCTGGGCACCCCGGGCCGGGTGGTCCGTATCGGCCCTCGGGTACGTGTTAAAGGGCCGACCAGCTGCCGCTTTGGCCCCACCGGCCAGACCGGCGGGTTGGGGGGTGCCGACGTCAGGCCCAGAGAGGGGGCGTTTGTCCCGGGAGGACTCCTGGGGCCCCCCTGAGCCCTCCCTGGAAGACTTGGGCCTCTTCTCTGGCCCCACCCGCCGCCTGTCACCACTTCTGCCACCCGCCTCGCTGTGACCGGCGCCCCGGCCTTGGCTGCCCGCCTTCTCCGGGGCCCCTCTGGCCGAGCTGGCCGGCTCTGCGGGCATCCCGTTTTCCTGGCGGGCACGGGCCGGTGGCGGTGGGCTGTCTCTCCGCAGGGAGTTGGAGCGTGTCACCGACATGTTCTCAAACTCGTCGAGCAGCAGCGTGAGGGCCCCATCCTTGGCACCTTTGCTGCCCCGCACGATGGTCTGGGGTCCAGGGCAATGGCGGGATGGGGGCCGGGAAAGGAAGAGGAGGGCACAGGACCCGTATCCGCCATACCAAGACAGGACAACACAACACACACACAGAGACAAGACAGAGACGGAATGAAGCAATGCCATGGGGTGATGATGGGGCTGGGCAGGTGGGCGCGGCACCAGGGGGGCCCCTGCAGCCCCTCCCACACCCCCGAGAGGTCTGGCGCAGGAAGAAAGCCGAAGGAGTAACCCCCACGGGTCAGGCTGTGGCCCCTGGGCTGGCTGGCCCCTCCCTGAGGAGCACCCCGTCTTTCTCCTATTCTCCAGGCTGGGCACGGCTCTCTGCCCTGTGGGCAGGAGGGGCAGGAGCACAGAGCCCACGCCACCGCACAATCAGCCCTGGAGAGCTGCAAATGACAGGATGCTGGGGCCAGGGTACGGCTCGGACTTCTCTCCCTGCGCCCCACCGGGGCGGTTAACCCCAAACCCAAGCTCTGTTTCCCTGGAAGCCGAGGGTGAAGCATGGGGAGAGTTAGAAAGGCCTGGGCCCGAAGTCCAGGAGCAGCAGTGATAAATGTGAATTCCCACGGGGCCTGGTAGATGTAACGTGTGTCCTGAGTCCACCCAAGCTTTACCTGCCAAGTCCACCACCCTGATCTAAGTCACAGCCACCTCCTCCCTTGAGGACTGAGTCAAGGCCCCCAGGGATTCCCTGGCCCCCTACTCAGCTCCAGGCTCCTACACAGGCTTCCTCTATGCTCCTCCAATATACCAGGCACACGCCCACCTCAGGACCTTTGCACTGGCTGTTCGCCCTTCCTCGAACATCTTCCCCAAGTATGCCCACAGCTCCTTCCCTCCTCCCCTCTTTCAGGCCTTTGCCCGAACTCAGCTTCTCAGAGGGAAGCTCTCGTTGACCACCCAGAGTTTAAAATGCCAGCCCCTAACACTCCCTAGTCTCCTTCTCTGCCTTCCCTTTCTCTGGAGCACTGGAAACCAGCTGCTGTGAAGCACGTGTAAGCTGACCATCGCCTGCGCCCCGTGCAACGTTCATGAAGGCAGCTATTGTATTTGCCTGTTCTTCTGCTCTTGCTACATCTCAGCACCCAGAACAGTGTCTGGTATGTATGCAGAGAGTGCTCCAGAAACACTGGCTGAACCGGTGAGGGAGGGAGGCGGGCTGGGAGGAGGCTGCAGGGAGCAGAACATGCACCCCCATCCCTCTGCTCTCACTCACTGGCCTACAGGGACGTGGGCCCAGGGCTGCCACACATCCTCAAGCCAGAACTGCCTCTACTGTGCACAAAACCCACCTCCAGGCCACAGTGCCCCTGTGGGCCTGCCCCGGTCTCCCCACCCAGCCCCCTTCCTCTCTCGGGCCTGGCTGCCTCCTTGCCCGGGCACCCAGTGAAGCAAGGGAAACACCTGCTCAGACCCTCGCGCTGGAATAAGAGGCCGAGAAGTCTAGGGGAGGGCCTGGGAAGACCCAGCTAAGGGGAGAGTCCCGGCCAAGGGTGGCAAACACAGGGGCCCCCCCATAGGGGCCCCAAGACAGCGCTAGCCCTGTGGCACCTTTGTGTGAATCAGGACGAGGTGCCCCCTCCTGGCAGACAGAGCCCTAAGCAGGGCTTACAGCTGGCAAGCCAAGCAGGGGCTAGATTTTCGGGGGTCCCTGGTCCCCTAGTGAGGCCATAGCAGCCCTGGGGCCAGCCGGGGGATGGGACCGAAGCGGGCTGGGCGGGGGCCCAGAGGAGCCAGCGCCCCGTCCCGCGGAGGCTGCCACCCCCTCAGTCCCTGCGGATTAGTCAGCAGAAGCCAGAAATACAGCTTTGGATGTGAAGTCTCTGCTGTTTCGAGCGGTGGCAGAGTTCAAAGTATTCAAAAGGCCTGTGTGAGACACACCGACACCTCGGGCGGGCCGCAGATGGAGGCCGTCCTGGTGAGCGGGTGAGCATCGGTGCCCACCGCGCTGATCCTGGAGGGCGGCCTCAGGGGAGGATGAGTCAGCCGCAGGCCTGCCCCCAGGCGTGGGGCCTGCTGACCGGCACACCCATCGCCAGCCCCAGAACAACCCTGGCTGCGTGCCCCTGGCCCCCGGCCCTTCCTGGTTCCCGCTGCCCTTGGGGTGAAGTCCGGGCTCCCAGGCTGGCTTCCCAGGCTGGGCGGGCTCACGCCCTGCCACCGGGCCAGCCTCCCTGCGCCCTGCCTGGGCGCCGGGACCGTGCAGACGGGTGAGCCTGGGCCGTGGAAACAGACCACGGGTCAAATCCCAAAGCCACCCTTTTTGCTCGAGATGGCAGGAAAACCACCCCCCAACCAAAAAGCCTCCAAGGCTTCCCATGGACTGTTTCCTCCGCTATAAACCCCGCCTCCTCTCCATCTGCCACAAGGACTCCTCCTCAGTCCTCGGGGCTCAGCTCAGGTGTCCCCTCCTCCACAAAGCTGGCCCAGACTCCGGGGGCCTGGTCCGCAGCTCCTCTGGGTGCCCCCAGCCCAGCCCTGACCATGGGGGTCTGTCCCCTTGCTCAAGTACAAGTTTTTGGTACTAGGGACGGGGACACGGAGCCCAGGGAGAGGACGACGGCCTGGAGGCTGGGGTGGAAGGCTGCTGCAGGGGTCAAGGTCGGAGTCAGTGTTGAGAGGTATGGGGAGGCACCGGGGGAGGGGGGTGGTGGAGGGGAGAGAGGTCAGCACTGGGGGCGAAGATTAGGGTAGAGGGTTGGGGTGTCTGGCAGTCAGCAAGGAGGTGTTGGCCCCAGGGTCAAGCATGGGGCTAAGGGCTGGGGGCGCCGTGTGGGGTCGGTGTGGGGCTGGAGAGGCAGTGGTGGGCACCGGCGTACCTTGTGGGCCCCGGGCTGGATGGAGGTGATGCAGGCGGGGTCCACGAGGGGCTTGGGCCGGCGAGCCGACTCCTCGATCAGGCTCTGCCACTGGCGGGGCAGCCCCGTGAACTTCTGCTCGTGCTGGTCGAAGCCCGTGTGCACGCGGTGCTCGAAGTTAGAGGGCGCGGAGATCTCAACCCGCTTCTTCTTCTTCCCAAACATGGTGCTGAGGCTCTCAGCACCCCGAGGGCGCAGACTTGGGCTCCTATCAGCAGGCCTGCAGGAGTGGGCCGCTCACTAGAACCCGCCCATTTCTCTCGGTTCCTCGGGCCCGGCCCTGGTCCTGTCCCTCCTCGTCCCCTCCTTGGTCTCCTGTCCCCCACAGGCAGCCCGAGGGACCCCGTGAACACCATCCACTACTCAGAACCCTCAGGCGAGTCCTCCCTGCGGCCCCTCCCCCACAACTCGCCCCTGTCACCTCTCTGCTCGCGTGTCCCCTTCACTCACACTGGTTTTCAAACCTCAGTGCCTTTGCACTGGCTGTTCCCTCCTCGTGGAACACTCTTCCCCAGCATCCACACATGCCTCCCTCCTTCCCTTCCTTCGGGTCTCAGAGTTGTTGGTGAATCCTTTTCCTGACCACCCCAAGTGAAGGAGGTGCACCACGAGCCTTCTGTCACAAAGCTTCAGGGCACGTTTAACTTCTGGAAATTCTGCCGTTCATTCTTGTGTTTACCAGTTGGGTGTCTACAACCCCCCACACCCCCATCCCTGGACTATCAGCACCAAAGGCCAGGTCTCATCTGCCCCGTGTGCCCGTGTCCTACCCCAGCCCCAGCACGGTGCCTGGCCTGTAGCCCGTGCTCAGTGACCGAGCAATTGTTCAACAACTGCTTCCATAGTCCCTGTCCTGTGCACGGCCCCTGGGAGCCTCACTGCAACACTCCCACTTTATAGACGCGGACCGAGGCTCCGAGAAGGGAGTTCCTCACCAAGCTCACAGGGTGGGCAAAGTTCCACCGCGTAGCAAATACTAACAGACAAAACAAGCCCCATCTTTAGGGTCTGTGGTCTCCAGGTGGATACTCCGGAGGGTACCAGGCACCGTGTAAATGCTCAATGAAAGCCAGTTTTAAAACCAAAGGGGCCACAGGGGAGCTGCGCTGTGGTCTCACAGGGAGACCAGGGCGGTGAGGGGAAGGGAAGTCAAATGGCCAGAGCACAAATCTCTCTCCGCCACTTACTCTGTGGGACCGGGGTCGAGTGACGTAAACTCTCTCGCCCTCACAGGACTGCTCTGAGGATTAACTGAGTTAACAGGAGCAGAGCAGGGCAGGGTGTGAGGGCCCTTGTCCACGTCTGTGACTCTGATGATCAGGGGTACTCCCAGCAGTGTCTGAGGGAGGGGGGGCCCCAGGTCCCGCGCCCCCGTCCCACATCCGGGCCCCGGAGTCCCACAGACCTGGTTTGATGCTGGCTGTGCTAGAAGTGCCCTCGGGCAGGTGACGTCTCCTCTTGGAGCCTCGAGTGACTCATCTGGAAAATGGGAAGAAAATATTCACGCATGCGTTCATTCGCTAATAACTCACTCCTCTGTGCCCAGCCCTGTGCGGGCTGATGCTCGGGACACAGTGGTGACCGAGATCGCCGACAGCCCAGGGTGGTCGGGGCTGGGGTCAGGGAGGACCAGACCCAGTCTGAGGGATGGGAGGGTGGGGGTCAGGGGAGGCTTCCCAGAAGACAGGCTGTGGGAGCTGAGACCCAGAGGATGAGGGGAAAGGCACCGGGCTGGGATCTTTGTCTGCTTCATGCTGGCTCCCCGGAGCGTGGCATGGTGCCCAACACAGGGTCGGCCCCAAGCATAGTGAAGTCTTGTGACCTACTGAGGACGCTCTCGAGCGTGTCTGGGATGCTGCCCTCCAGGCCCGGGCTCTCCTCCCGCCCTGTTCCTTTCCTGCGGGAGCGGCTCTGTGAGGTCAGGAGAAGAGGCAGCCACCCCCACCCGAGAGGTAGGACCATCAGTGGGCAGCCATCTAGGAGAACCGGTTTGGCAGCAGAGCCCAGCTGGGAGGGAGTGCGGACCCAGCAGACAACCTGTCTCAACTGGTCGGGGCCTCCTGGGCAGCAGGTGGCCAGAGCCAGGTCTGGCCAGGGCTGCCCCCCAGCAGGTCCAGTTTCCCTGTTGCTCCGGGGCCCCTGGCCGCCCGGATGTGGGGTGTGACAGCCTTGGCCAGGATGGAGGCCCCTTTACCCCTGCCCCTTCTCTGCTCCTTTAATGTCTTCTTCCCCCATTCCAGCCTGCTGAATGCTGCCCATCCCTCCCACCTCGACTTCCATCCCCGGCCCCCACCCACCCTGCTCTGGCCCCCAGCCTCTCTGCCCTCGGCCGCCTTTCTAGCACCGGTCCTCGCCTTGTCCCCACAGCTGGACCTTCCCCCATCCTCCCCACTGTCACCCCAGAGCTTCGCCTCCACCTCCTCGCTGTGTTCCCAGAGGTGCCCCCACCTGGCCCCAGGCCCAGCCTCTCCCCTCACCTTGGCCTCTCTCACTCGGCCCTACCCATCCTCCACCCAGCAGCCCACAGCCCGAGGCACCAAGTCACTCCGGGGAGCAGGATGAGCCACGTGACCCCTCACTAAACCCAGGACGGGGAGGGGCGGGCCCTGCGGTGGGAGGAGCTCAGCACCAAGAAGGGGTGGGCGGGAGGCAGCCAGGACCGCCAAAGCCCTCACCCCTGTAAACCCCAAGCCGCCTCTGCACACTGCAGCCAGCGCCCCGTATGTCCTGCCCCGCGTGCGTGTGACCCTGCAGGGGAAGGGGGTGGAGGGACACACCTCCGGATATTTGCCCGGGGCCACCCCTTCCCGCTGGGCACCGCATGGAGGGAGGGACAAACAGAGGAACTGACCGTGTTTATAGTGAGCAGGCTCCAGCTCCACCCTGGGGCAGCTCCCAGCTCCCCCAAGTCCCCAGGCTCCTGACCTTATGGGGGCCACAGAGGGGAAGGTGGAGGAGCTGCTGTGACAAAGCTGTGTGCCGGAGCGCTGCGGTGGGCGAGGAGGGGGTGGGGGGGCTCCCCAGCGAGCTTGGAACCTAGGAGTCTGGCTGCTGTGCCCTAGGCCACCTCACCTTCTGTACCTGGGAGCCAAGCCACCTTGGCAGCTCACCATGTGGCCGGGGGCCAAAGGCTCGGCCACCCTGTGCCTCAGTTTCCTCCTCTGTTAAAGACAATAATGGCAGAATGTGCTTCCTGGGGTTCTGAGCGGAGTCACATCCTGCCCCAACCCCTCCTGGGGCTGAGGGTCCCCACCTCCTATCTGACCTGTCCCAGCCCCCCAAGGGTAGTGGGGAGGCAGCAGAGAGTGGGGGTTCCCGTCCCCCTTCGGCAAGACAATCTGCAGGGGCAAAGACGGCCCCCCCACACGCCAGTCCCCCCACCGAACGTGCCCTTCTGAGGCTCAGCTCTGGTACTGACATCACTACCACCACCACAAAGGACCCCGCAACCCTGCCCAGATGCAGACGCTCAGCTCACGGACTCCCGTGATGACCTGGGGGGAGCACGTTTCTCATTCCCATCTTGCAGATGTGGAAACTGAGGACCACAAAGGTGAAATCTCTTGCTCAGGCTACCAGGCAGAAGACAGCTGGATCCACTACAACGTCGAACTCCTTAAACCTTCTGCTGGCCCCTGAGACCTGTCCCTGCGGCCCATACAATCTGCCTGTCACCTCTGCCCCCTGCTCATTCTGCCCCAGCCACATGGGCCTCCTTGCTGCTCTTCAAACCCTAGACATGTCCCCACCTCAGGGCCTTTGCACCGGCGGTCACCCCACCTGCTGGAACTTCATTCTCACTGATCTGCACCTGGCTCCCTCCCTCCTTCCCTCTACGCTCATCTGTCCTCAAATAGCCCTGCTCCTGTCCTGTCCCCCTCTACGCCTTTCCCTTTGCATCTGTCATCCGCCTTGCTCCCCGCTGTACCCCAATGTGTACAACACGGCCCAGCCCACACTAAGCACTCAAGGAACCTCTGGTGAATGAACTGACTCAGCTGTACCCGCTAGGCTACACCCCTGCTCAGACACCTCTGATTCTGCCGAGGCGGTCCTTGGGAAACTCCAGGAGAGGGTGAAGCAGCAACCTCAGAGAGAACAGTGGCCACCGGCCACCAGCCAGGCCACAGATGCCTCTGAAGTCCAGCGTCTGATTCCACGAACGCAGGCACATTTTGCATCCTCCTCTCAAATGTTCATTGCAATTAAAAAAAAGGCTTTTGAATTATTTGACATGTGCGACAGGCAGCTTCCAGCCTGTCCTTGCCAAAGCTTCCAGGTTTCTAGTCAACCCTGCATTCGCCGGTTCTACCCTCTGAGCTTTCATGGGAAGAAAATGATACCCAGCCACCCCACCCCACCCCACCCCACCGCTAACTCCCCCCACCAAGGAAATCAGCTCTGGTGGTAGAGCAAGATCCATTTCTGTGACAAAGCCATCCAGGGAGTGTGCGCGTGTGTGTGTGTGTGTGTGTGTGTGCGCGCGCGCGCAAACGCACGTGCATGCATGTGAAAAACTCCTTACCTCCCAGCCCCTACCCTCCCCCCCAGGCTCTGAATCAAGTTGCTCCCCTGCACTCTGGGGAGCCGACCGAGAGGGAACCCAGGGGCCCAGGGAAAGAGCAGGGGATGTGCCAAGATCATGATCACGGTCTCCAAAATGAAACCGTAAATCAGGAAGAGGACCGTGAAGGAAGGCTCAGTGCCCCCAGCCTGCACTCAGGGCTGCCACCGCTGGCTCCCACTCAACCTTCTACCAAGACTTACTTATTTTTAAAAGATATTATTTATTTATTTGAGAGAGAGAGAGAGAAAGTGAGATAGTGAGACAGAGCACAAGCAGGAGGGGGAGAGGTAGGCTCCCCACCGAGCAAGGACCCCGCCGACGCGGGACTCGACTCCATCCCAGGACCCTGGGATCGTGACCTGAGCTGAAGGCAGACGCTTAACGACTGAGCCACCCAGGCGCCCCCCTCCAAGACTTTTACCTACCAGCTCTGGGAAGCCCCTTCCCACCTCAGTTTACCCAGTCGCCCCCGGCTGTGTTCTGACAAAGGAGGGGGAGTCCGGCCTACTTTTCCGGCCCCCAGCAGAATCCTCACTGCCTCCCTTAACCCTTCACACCCGTCCCACCTCCACACCTTTGCTCAGCTCTCACAGGCCCACCTGTACAGCCCCCCGCCCTCCCCAGTCCACATCTCTCTCCCAGCCCCCCTGTCCTGAGCCTAGTTCCTCCAAGGAATCCCCAGGGACCCTGACCCCAGATGCCACCACGAGCTTTAGGCCTGACACGTGCCTGAGCCCCTTCCTTGGCAAGCACCTACTCTACTCCCAAAGGACCCCCTCACACTCACGCACCTGCCCACCGTCCATGGCTACTGAGGGCTGACTTCTGCCAGGCCAGGGCTGGGGCTCCTAGTGGTGGTCAGAACAGGCAGAAGCATCCCAGCCCTTGCGGACAGAGCTCGTGTTCTAGGGGAAAGGAGACAGTCGATAAATGAGCTAAATCAGAAGAATATCTAGTAAGTCAGAGGGTAAATGCTAAGGACATACACAAAGCAAGCATCAAGAGAGTGCTGAGGGGCAGGGGAGGCTGGAAGTTTCGAAGAAGTGGTCGGGGAGGGCCTGGCTGGGAACATGACCCTTGAGCAGGGACCCAAGGTGGGGGAGGGGCCAGGGAACCACGTGGACACCCAGCAGCAGGGAAGAGTCAGGGCAAATGTCCCCAGGTGGGGACGTGCTTGATGTGGTCACAGCAGAGGAGGCCGAGTGGTGGGGGGGGGTGGGGGGCAGACCGCGTAGGGACTTGTGGGGCACCGGGACAACTCTGTCTTTTCCCCAGAGTGAGGTGGAACCACACAAGGACTCCAAGCAGGGGAGGGACGTGGCCTGACTCAGGCGTCCACAGGCTCCCTGTGGCCACGTGGAGCCCAGGGAGGTGGAGGACGTGACGGCCCAGGGGTGGGCAGGAGAAGCCGGAGGGCTCTGGGCATGCTTTAACGGCCGAGATGACAGGACCTGCTGAGGACTGACACTACTTTCCGTACCAGCCTCAGCAAGCGTGCCACGGGGGCGGGGGCCGGGTCCGGTCTTGCCCATCACCGCATCCCCCGAGCCTGGCTCAGCTGGTCTACTCTCTCCTGACCCTTTGCATCACCTAACGCGTTACCCGGTGATGAGTGTGCCTACTGTTTCCCGCGAAGTCAGTGGCTCGGCGCAGGCAGGAAGCATGTTTCAGTTGCTTATGGCTGGATCCCAGCACCTAGGGCAGGCCGTCCCTTCTTGGTGCCTGAGCAGATGGGAGGGGCCGGGCACACAGACCAGGCCACCCTGAGCCCTCCCGACAGGGGTGGGTGAGTGGGTGCGGGGAGAGTCTTCTTCTTTCCTGTTTCCCAAACCAGAACACCGAGGCCCAGAGAGGGCAAATCACTGCCCAGGGCTGCCCAGCACCAGGTCACCAAAGTACCCACGCTGACCCA